GAAATAAGATCTTAGAAAAGAAAAAAAAATGTTGATGGCATTCTAATGGCTTGTCAAAGTGGAAGAAATGGATCAAGAAGGTACTAACCATGTTCCTTGTACAAGGTTCTATATATACTATATTATGCATATGGAAGTATGAATTTAATTTTGCTTGTTAATATGGAGTAAAGTACTCTAAGAACAGCTAGGAGGGCTTTTTCCTTCCTCATGCCAATCATTGCAATCTACTTAGAACAATTTTCCTCACCGAAACTCCACCTAATAAGGTGTCATGTTATGACTGATTTATGAGTGTGATTTGAGTACTTCCCAAATCAGATGGAGTGGAAAACAAGTGAGTTTGTGAATCATCGAAGAAGAATTCATTTACTGATGGTATTTTTTCTATCCAAAGGCTTAGATTTAAAATGTTGAAATAACTTCTGCAGGACTCCCAAGCTTTTGCTATAGCTGTTACAACTGTGGCGAAAGTGGCTGTCACACACTGTAGCTGCTGAGTTAGCAGGAGTAGAGTAGCAGCTCTGCTCATCTCATACCACCTGATCCTAGAGAATAATGTTTTCTGTTTCTCATGTTTCACCTTCTCCTGATGTTATGGGGACTTTTCTTTATGTTTCTAAAAGTCAAGACATGTTTCTTTTTTGGAGGTAACTTTCTTGAGTTAAAATGTAGTTAGAACTGTGGCTAACAGCATTGCCTGAAATGTGCTACAAACAGGATTAGACATTCATTTCTCTTTCTTGTATAAGACTCAGTGTTCATTTAGTCTTTCTAAATGAAACCACAACAAACATATGAGTTTTTAACCATTGCAATGTGTAATAAATAAAATGGTGAAAATGTAAATATATCTGAAGAGGCATTAGCCTGTAGTTTTAAATAATAATGAAAATTGTTTAGCAGTCACTAACATGCAAAGAAATGGTTGGACAAAGATGTTTTGCTTGCATTTCAGTCAACTCCCTGATAATAGATGCAAAATTAAATAAGGTGTTGGTGCATGTTTCATTTGAAATGAGTAAAAGAACTGGAAAAAAAATGCAATCAAGCTGATTAAAATGTGTGTCACCCTCCTGTAAGTTAAAATCATTTGCTCACAGAAAAAAGATATTACCCTGTAAAGAGCATTGGTTTTAATAACTATTTATTGAACTCTAACACCCTGTTTGATAAGAGTGTTTCTCCATAATGCTCAGCATTTTAAAGCCTCCAGTGACACCAGAATCACTTTGCTTCAGAAACATAGCAGGTGAATTTTAATTGTCCAGCCAAAGTTGGAATCAGTTCAATAGGACTGTCCTCCATGTTTATCCAATTGCAGGTAATGTCAAGAGGTGAGATGTTTGATGAAGGGGATATGATTTCTCATCTATGAAATGCTATTCTCATTTGGTCCTTTGGGGACTCTAGCTGTCAAAAGGAAAAAAATAAAAGACAAGTTGAAAAGAGAAAATCTTTATCCAAAGAGGACTATAGAAATGCCTATTTAATCTAGGCTTTAAAGAAGATTTTATAATAATGATTAATATTATAAATACTTCATCCTTTCTAAGTAAACCACATTTAGAAAAATACATTGCTGTAGCAATCAACAGGAATTCTGTGATTAATAAGTCTGTAGTGATCACTCCACGTGAACACAGCGTACTGAGAGCTTTTGGGTAGTCACATTTTATGGAAAAACTATTGGCTCCTACTTTGTTTGAGTCTCCAATCTATAGAGTTAGCCCCTCTGCCCTGGTAGCCTATGAAAATCTTTTAGCTCCCTAACGTTTCTATTTCTCACAGAATACCATTGGATGTGTTCTCTCACAGATAAAATACTTTATTTTACAGAATTTTATGCTTTCAAACTGATGTTGACCATGGGAGAAAAAAGTGTGTGAAATTTTCATATAAACAATTAGCTGATTTGGTTTAACAATTAGCCATAATTAAATATACTTTGTACTAGCTATAACTAATATTTTGTGACATCAAAAAATCAAAGTTTAGATATCTAATTTGAAAAAAGGATATAGTATTTGTATCCATTTCAAAGACAGAGGCATACTTAATTATTTACAGATAATTATTTTTGAAAATTTTTAACATTTAAAGAAACTATGTAAAGACCTATTTATCTGGACAGATATTTGGTAATTGATTATAAAATTATATTTAACTAATAAGTCAATCACATAGCTAGATTAGACTTATACCACAAAGGTTTTTTTCTTTTAATCATCCTCCATTAATAATATAGAGTATTTAGGGTTTTATTTTAATTCTTTGCTGCAATTTTGATGACAAGCTCTGTTAGCAACGTTGGTTAAGTTTTTTAAGTGGCCTTGATTTTGTGCAAAGAGTAACCTCACAGAAATTTTATTTTGGAATTGTGTGTGTGTGTGTGTGCAGCAGAGTGTGTGTGCAAGAAGAGATAGAGAGAGTGAGAGAGAGCCATTCCTATCAGTTGATTTTTGAATAGTGCTTTATTCTAGCAATCAGCACTTACAAAGTTAAAAAACCCAACAAACCATAGAATGTCAATAAAGGAAGAAATATATTTTTGATTCTTATGAATAGTGTTCTAAGAACAGAATTACTGAGTAGTTAGGAGACAGAGTTTCTTTTTCATATCTCTAGGACTACTTAAGTGCTTTAGTAATATATACTACTATAGCCATAGCATGGGGTCTCCCCAGTTCTTGGATCACCTTGTTCATTTTTTTTTTTTTTGAAATGGAGTCTTGCTCTATCACCAGGCTGGAGTGCAGTGTTGCAATCTCAGCTCACTGCAACCTCCACCTCCCAGGTTCAAGTGATTCTCCTGCCTTAGCCTATTGAGTAGAGTAGCTGGAATTATAGGCACCCAACACCATGCCTGGCTAGTTTTGTATTTTTTTTTTTCTAGATGGAGTCTTCCTCTGTTGCCCAGGCTGTAGTGTAGTGGCACGATCTCGGCTCACTGCAATCTCCGCCTCCTGGGTTCAAGCAATTCTCTTGCCTCAGCCTCCTGAGTGGCTGGGACTACAGGCGTGAGCCACCTCACCTGGCCTAATTTTGTATTTTTAGTAGAGATGGGATTTTACCATGTTGGCTAGGCAGGTCTTGAACTCTTGGTCTTAAGTGATCCACACACCTCGGCCTCCCAAAGTGCTGGGATTACAGGCATGAGCCACCTCACCCGGCCTCCTTGTTCATTTTTAAATAGCTGCGTAAACCATAAGTGTTAGGAATGCTTTAAAGTATTAATAAAATAAAAGTCTGCTATCAGATTATTTCTTCTGGGAGTAAGGTAACCCCACTTAACAAGTTTACTGATTGAATGAAAGTACTCAAAATGCTAGACCCTTCTAACAAATGACCTAAGAGAAGTCAGCACTTCTGTAAGTGGTGGTAAATTTTTTGTTTATGAACAAGCTTTGTTAGAGTAATGAAGGTGTAATTTAATGAAAAAATTAACACAATTTCAGTACACCTTCTAGGAGCTCTTTATAAGCAAGGTATGAGGCAAATGATCAAGCACACCACAGATGCTTTTTTCTTTTCTTTTAGGAGTGTACAAATATCATGTTTTTTTCTACTTATTCTTATTTTGTAGCCTACCTCCAAAGACTGATTTTTTTTTTTTAAAGCAATGCTTAGTGAAGCAGAGAATTTTATACCAGCCTTATAACTGGGAAAGCCTTCCAGGAGGAGATGAGAATTGAGGCCTAAGACATACGCCTAGCTGTTGGGGAAAACACTCTATCAGGAATCTAAGGCTAAAATACTTCACAGGGAATAGGGTTGTGGAGGATTGGGAACTAACAGATGAACAAGTAACTCTCTGAGTGTTTAAAAAATTATATAAGAAGAATGGATCCCAGCTGTTCTATACTTTATGAAGGCCAGACAAGAAGGAATGGACTGAACTTGAAGCAAGAATTGACAAAGGAGGCCCTTAAGTACTGGAAATGCTCATGAAAGGAGCTCCTGTACTCATCCCTTCATACACACATACACATGCAGCTGTTAATCTCAGTGCATGGAAACCAGGCTGCAAGACCTTTTGAGGCCCTTCACAGTTTTATAGAAATTTGAAAAATAACTGAATTTGGTTATGTGGCTCCATGAACAAAAAATTCTAGTAAATTATGCTGCTTTTCCAAACCCAAGTTCTTTGAAAACAGTCAGGTTATGCATAGTATCACTGGAAAGACAGCCTTCAAAGGCTTGTTGCTTTCTCCTGTAGTGAACCAGGTAGAGACTTGACAGTCAATATGCAGACATCTGGCCACTTGCAAATGTGAGAATCCACTCACTTATTCATTTTATTTTTAAACAGTTATTGAGTGGCTATCTAACTGATAGAGTCTAACTAATTTCAATGAATAAAAGAGAATAAAAATGTCAAAGTATATGCAACTTTGTACGGGTTTATGTACATATATTTTTTATAAATTCAGATTATTTTACTCTTTTGTACACAGTTTAGCTCTCAGTCCCAGTTACTGTAGATAAGACTGAAAAGAAATGGATAAAGATTTATTACATTATACATAGAGTTTTATGTTCTAATTTGTTAACATAATTTTTAAGCATTGCCTATTTCACCAAAATGACATTGAAAACAAGATTTTACTTGGTGGATACTAATTAGTGCTTTCTTCTATGTTAGACATTAAGCTGCTTTCAATTTTTCATTGCAATAAACAATCCTTAGAATAGAAACATAGTAGGAGAGCTACTAAGCCAAAGGGTAGAAACATTTTTAATGCTGCCAGATTGCCATCCAGAAATTCCATCAAGTGTATGAAAGTGTCTTTTTCATTGTAACTTACCAACGTTGACTGTTCACAGTATAGCACTCAGAGTCTGGAATAACATTAAATGGTTTCTGATTTGAACAGGACTGATGAAATTATTCAGCATTAGGCATATTATCACGGGTGTATGGGATTATTTTCCATGATTTTAAATTAAAAAAATCCTTTAGAAATTCCTTTGATTTTACACACATTCATTCACCAATTTGACAAATATTAACTGGCTAGTCAATAAGTTCCTACTGTGTGACAGGCTTTGACCTCTATTAACAGAATTGATGGGCTGGGCGTGGTGGCTCTCGCCTGTAATTCCAGCACTTTGGGAGGCTGAGGCGGGCGGATCATGAGGTCAAGAGCTCGAGACGATCCTGGCCAACATGGTGAAACCTCTCTTTACTAAAAATACAAAAATTAGCTGGGGGTGGTGGAGCACGTCTGTAGGCGCAGCTACTGCGGCGGCTGAGGCAGGAGAATCGCTTGAACTTGGGAGGCAGCAGCTGCAATGAGCTGAGATGCTGCAGCTGCACTCCAACCTGGTGACAGAGTGAGATTCGATCACAAAAAAAAAA